ATACTTCTCTTGGGAGACATTTTCACAAACATGGTGGTTACTGAGAAAGCCCTGTCTCAAGAGGTGTCCTGGGTCTCTGTAACTAAAGATGGCTTTTTGTTGTCTGCATGATGAAGAGGACTGTTTTTATTACGAGTATGCTTTTAAAATTCAATTTGGTTTTTTTAAAAAAAGTTTTCATCTATTCTACATTGGTGTTGTATTGTGTTGTATTAGTGCCATACTAGTTTATCTATATTCCACATTTCATCTAAAGGTGGGACTCAAGGTGGCTTCAAGAGAATATAATAGTTTTTATTTAATTATTAAATAAATGTTTTTGCTGCAGAATAGAGAGTAGGGAGGAGACAGATGTAGAGGGAAGTGGTGTGGTGTATGTTTATGTGAGAGAGACAAAAGACAGAAAGGTAAAGTGCTCTTGTTCTTGGCAGTTGCCTCTCTATTGCAAACTTTTAGTACCACTCAGGAGCAGAAAAGGGACAGGCAGGGTGCAGATGCTTGGGTGATGATGTTATTCCATCTTTGGTGAGGATCTAATTGCTCTGACTAGAATACTACTACTCTCCCCTGCAATGTTCCATTACAGGAAACTAACTACACCCATGACTAGGTAGCAGTTATTGGAGTCCTGTCCCTTAAAAGGTCCGTTACGTACCTGGTCTGCTGTTGGAACCCCCAAACAGGTGATTCTGTATTTTCAATGATATCTGTGGTAATAGGGTTATCAGCATCGGCAGCAACAAACGACACGTAGCTGCTGGGTGAAGTCACTCCACGTTCAGTGAGAGGGCTCCCTGAAAAACAAAGAGTCAACAAGGAATGAAGTCAGTTTCGAAGTACATGTAATTTATCTGTAAGAGATTCAAAGGAACAGAATCCCTTTTCAGTCAAGCAGCTACTATGGGACCGGGTCCTATGGGAAGAGAATGGCAAGATGGCTGAGGCCCTCCTTGATGCAGGGAAAGAAATGATGAGTCAAGATAGCCGCATCCATAGCACCAGTCAGCTCTGACCCCGAAGGCATGTGTTTTCCCTGCCTATTTCTGGGCAGTGATTTGCATAGATTCCCCCTCTCATCAACCTAGAGAATAAATGCTCTGCTCTGTGGAGGCAGAGTCCTTGCCTTCATATTAGCCACTAGGCAGCTCAGGACACTGAAGGCCTGTCCACACACCAGTATACAATCCCAGAAGAAAAGGAGACAAATGCATAGAAAACACAAAGAGCTACTGATCACTCTGCCTGTGAGCCACCTCCAGGATGACTCTTGAAAACTGTGGAAATATGCAAAAAGAAGCAGACATAGGCACCTCCAATTTTGACTGGATACTCTAGTCTAGTTTGGAAGAGAATGAAAAACAATACAGTACTATGGCAAGGGTGTACAACTGTGAAAAGCTGGGGAGTGAATTAGTTCTTCCAGGAGACCTTGGAGGGCTCTACTCCCATGCAAAAATAAATAAATAAATAAATAAATAAATAAATAAATAAATAAATAAATAAATCCCCAAATGACTAGTAACTCTAGTAATTATGGTGGTAGAATTCAAAGACATAGTTGTGTTAGTCTGGATCAGTATGCAAAGGGATATTGTAGCACCATTAAGACTAAGTGAAAGAAAGAAGTTGGTAGCATAAGCTTAAGTCTCATGCATCTAAGTAGACTTAAATCTATATAAACATATGCTACCAACTTCTTCCTTTCTCTCAGTTAATACGAAAGGTATTACAAGATGTCAGGTAACTATGAAAAAACGCTTAATATGTTTGTAGCCTTTTAAAATCATTCTGTGTTTACACCGTTTAAATTAGTCAGGCTGTTTTTATTACATGCTGCCCTGAGAACTTTAGACAGAGGGTAAAATACAAATATTTTAACTAATAAATAAGCTCCCCTAAAATAGCTCTATGGAATCTCCCTCTGTCCCCAATCCTGTTTTTCTTCACCACTGACAAAAATATTTGGTCTAGCTCAGTGTTTGGAGAAACCCTTTGAAAAATAATATTTGTTGAAGATTTCAGAAGCGCTCACAGAAGTACTGTCAGAGCGGACCTAATGTTTTTTTTGGGAAAAGGACTTTGAAAGCTTTGAAAATGTTCTTTTATGCCCTGTTTCAAAGCAAGGCTGTTTATCTCAAAAACATGGGAAGAAGTCTGTGAGAAAAGAGATTAGCTAATCAGTTAATTGGCTTAACCTAGTTTGTATGCTGTGCCACACAAAGATGCTCTTGTGCATCCATAGAGAACAACAAGGT